TACGCGGACAGGAGTTCACAACATGCCTTATTTCCTCCCCCCTCTCCCTTCCAACGATAAGCACGCAAGAAAAGTCAGTTGAAGTCAAGTGTACACTCAATTTCGTGGCCTTGGTTGCCATGTATGAGGGTAAAGGTTCGCAGCTGCAGTACCTGCCTCGCTCTCCGGTCAAAATGCACTAAGAAGAAACGGGGTTTGGCAAAAGCTAAAAACCCCGAGTGGCGTCTCCGTACATTTGTAGCTTGTCCGGTGCCGCACAGCTAGCCTTACCGTAGCCATCGCGCTACGCGTATGCGCCTGCTCTTTTACGGTCATATGAGGATGGCGCAGGCGGAGTATAGAGACAACGCTCGGGTATGACTACTTTCCACCCCCGTTTCCATTTAGCAGAGAATTTGGCAAACCGATTTAGCGTCACTCCGCAAAAGGAAAGGATTGCCTTTGAAGGCAGTTGGCACGATAAATCCCCCAAGACGACTAGGATCGATACGTCTGGCAGGACGGAATTCCGTGACCCTGAGCAGGCGCTGCATAGCGGCTTCTCCAAGGAAGTGTGCCTGAGTGTTACTTGCACGATAAACCCCAAGACAACCAAGGATCAATATCGGCCTAAGGGGATTAGTATGTGAGCGACCGTGATGCTCCATTGCATATATGTGGTAGCCACGTATGCAGTCGGTATCTTCCGATAAGCGGTTTGGTTGGGGCAGAGAGCAGGGAAAACTTCGCTCCAAAAATCCGTTCCACTCCACATAACAGGGGGGGGGGCCAAAAAAAAGTCCTCCATGACTTTCAAGGCGCTATAAGTTACACTTTATTAAATTTTTATCGGACATTTTTACTACCATATTAAAGAGCACATTAAATACTATAATGATACTCCGCCACAGCCTTCTGGAGGAGCGCCATCGAGAGATTCGGCCGCGCGAAAGTGAGTGGGTACCGGAGTTGAGCGAGATCGTTGATTTCTCCGCCACTGTAGACCACCCTGTTGAGCTCCGCCCGAACCGAGTAATTGAGGGGGTTTAGTTCAGGGACGTACTTCAATATTACATCTGTCGTACTCGTGAGTAGGGTATCCAGTCATCCCCGGAGCCCAACTTTCAGCAAGAGTTTCCTCAGTAATGTTTCGAGAGCGCAATAGTTAAGTAGGGTCGACTCGTGAAGTTTGAGTGTACAGAATGAGCTCTTAAATGGCATATATCCATGTTATATACATCACCACGCACGCAGGAACACAAGGAGACAGAAATCCGAAAAACGCATAAAGTATCCGAAAAATGCAAAAAATCCGGCGCCAAGAGGATCCGATCCGCAAACCTTCTCCGTAAGAGGCCGACCGCACTATCCACTCCGCCATCCGCCGATCACGTAACACGGGAGTCGTTGAAGTAACTTCGGTACTACTTTTCTCCATGCACTTTCTTTTTGACTTTATTTTGCTCTCTTTTCGATACATAGTGAAGGAACACCTCATAAACTATGCACTCTCAAAGTTACAGCTACAACAGAGCCCAATAAGACGGTTAAAATCGCCCTTTCTTGTCAAATTGTTTTCACTCAGTTTTTGACCTCCCCAGAAACGCATAGCAAAAATGAAACCCATTTTTGTAATCCTTGTATGGACCCCTACAACAAGCAACAAACCATTTTCAAAAAGCGCGCCACGACCTGAAAGACCTCCCTTGTAAAAGCTACGCTCCGCAGCCAGAAACGGGCATTACTTCGCAGTTATAATGGAACAGCTATCACGCGTCAGTGCGTAAGCGAAACAGAAAACCTTCTCCCACCTCGCAGGAGTGCTCTGCAAAATCTAAAAGGAGATTAGATTTCAACGTTCCAAGGCCCGTGCGTCGGTGTGCGTACCATCCAGGTCAGATCAACTTCTTGGGGACCCCTTGTGAGAGGATAAGAACACTGACCTGTACATTCGGTGGCTCTAGCAGGTAAGTGTGTAGACCACATCGCGTTTAATAACCCACTTTGATTGTTGAAGGTACGGTCCGCGATCAGGTGTAGAAATTGAAATTGTGGCTTTTGGAGGGTAGTGTGGTTCCCCACGAACAACCTTGTACCATCTTCGCAGCAAATAATTATAACGGACGGGTGCTATAGCGCAACATACATTCAGTGACGCTTCCTTTTCCCACTGACTCCGCCTTCAAGAAAAGATGGGGGGAGAAAAGGCATGAAAATCGTCACTTGTACGGTCGTAGAAATCTTATCGGGGAATCAGCTGTGCGGATGAGGGCGTAGTGTTGGAGATGGAGGTAACTGGGCGCGTACAAACTGGGATCGAAAACGGAATTTTACATAGGGCAGCTGGCATGTTTTTTTTCTGCTTTTTTCTTTACTATCAGGTTACTGGGCATCTTGTGGTCTATCTACAGACCCCTAATCTATTATGTGTGATATCGAATGATCGCGAGCTTTGCCTTTAATGGGAGCATAATACTTGCCGTGTCTTATAAAAGGACAAGTGGATGGCGGAGACTTCACCTTTTTATGTTTCTACCAGTAGCATAGGTTTAGGCCATACGCGCAGTAGTGCGCGTCAGCCAACTGGTTTCATTATACTTCTGTTTAATGAAGGTTTGCTAATCTGGTGCTTATCACATATTTTCAAAAAGCGCTCACCATTCGTTTGAAATAGGACGGCTCAGCGGTTGAAAGAGTTTCGATGGTAATAACATCGACATCATAGTGAAATATCCTCACATCCTAGTATTTTCGTTACGCAGATTCCAAGGCTTTTACTTTTTGTAGAAACTTTAGAGTTTAGCGGTCGGATCAATTCCGACCATATCGCTGGGATAGAGTAACTTGACTCACTAAGCCCCTGCCTATTGTTTCTTGGTCATCGGTGTTATGTTCAGGCCGAGCGGAGTAAGGATGCGAACGGGTATTGGTCCCTATAGACCCTTTTTCACACTATATCACAACTTATCTCCCTTCACCAATGTTCCTTAACCACTTCTGAATGACTTGCTGGAAGCAGTTCCCGGTGTTGCTACAACTCGTGCTATGAACTTCGGGGGCACTTCTTCAAAAAGGTCCTGTGGTACCTTATCAGCTGTTATCACGTCCTGCCACCCACCAATAATGTTCCCATCCTGCCCCTATCTAACTTCTTGGAACCAACGTTCCGTCGTCGCTGTGGCAACGCGCTATGGATTTGGTGACCCTTCCCTTCTAAGGCCCCTTATGGTATCTTATCAGCTGTTATCACGGCCTACCCCCTACCAATAGTGTTCCTGCACGACCTCCTATATCACTTATCAATTTGAGCGCTTTATCGCTGTTTTGAAGAATGTTATGAATTTCCGGTCAAACACACATACGGACAGACAAGCAAACATCCATGAAGACACACCAAGAGAAAAACTTAGCGGATTATATGTAGGACCAGTCGGATCGCCCGGCTGTCGCCGGGCGCTCCTCCTTCTGTGACATGGCCCGGCGAAGCCGGGCCATGCGGATTTGCCGCGTGCTAAGTTAAGGATCGTTGACCAACCACACTGTTCAAAGGAATCTTCTGCATCAGCCAAGAACTGAAAAGCAGCGCTTGTTCCGTCAAGGCGCAGAAGCAGCAGCAGCGCCCCCCCCCCCGCATCACAGAAGGAGGAAAGCCGGCCTTAGCCAGCGATCCGACTGGTACGTTCATAACCTACACGGAAATAGTGCAGCCTGTTTGGACAGCCACTGAAGCAGCCTATAATTTATGCAATCTGTCTTCCTAAAGCGTCTTGCTTTGGAATGCACTACCGCATTCAGCAGTGGAACCCTTTAAATGGCCCTCACTGAAGTTGCTGATGGAAGATAATTGTGGTAAGAGTGATAAAGTCAGTTGCTGCTGTTCATAACATCTCTGTAAACAAACCACATGCATTTGGAATAGAGCTGGCTTAGCGGTCGTACACGATGTCGTTACTAATAAGCAGTGAGGAATGAGTTCTGTTGGAATCACTGAGATCGTTATACTTGAGTCATATCGATCGCATTGTTGTTGTGAGCGGTGAAGCGGATTTTCCCATGCTACCTTGTCAATTTTAGCTCCTATCACTTCCGTACCCGCCAATAACACTCCCGTCCCGTATCACTATCATATGTATCGCCTCTCGGATCAGAGGTCCCACTGTTGCTGTAACCTGCGTTACGAATCTGATGACCCTCCCCTTCCGAGGCCGCTTACCGTATCTTATCAACTGTTATCACTTTCTGTCGCCCGCCAATAATGTTCCCGTCCCACACCCTATATCACCTCACGGATCTGAGTTCCCACTGTTGCTGTAACCTGCGCCACGAATTTGATGACCCTCCTCTTCCGAGGCCCCTTATCGGATCTTATCAACTGTTATCAGCTTCTGCCAGCCCCACCCTACGGCATATCAGTACTTGAAATCATGGTCCCGCCGTTGCTGCAACTTGCCACGAATTCGGTCACCCTCCCCTTTTAAGGCCCCTTATCGAATCTTATCAAGTGTTATCACCTCCTGTCACCCACAAAAGTGTTCCCGTCCTGCCATGTATATCACTCCTTGAAATCACGGTCCCGCAGCTGCTGCAACTTGCGCTAGATGTTGGTCACCCCCCCCCTTCTAAGGCCCCTTATCGAATCTTATCAAGTGTTATCACCTCCTGTCACCACCAAAGTGTTCCCGTCCTGCCATGTATATCACTTCTTGAAATCACGGTCCTGCAGCTGCTGCAACTTGCGCTACGAATTCAGTCACCCTCCCCTTCTACGGCCCCTTATCGTATCTTATCAAGTGTTATCACCTCCTGACACCCACCAAAAGTGTTCCCGTCCTGCCATGTATATCACTTCTTGGAACTGTCATCCTATCTTTTCTGCGACGCTCGCTATGAATTTCGTGACACACACACACACACACACACACAAACACACACACACACACACACACACAGACACACATAGTGGGATTATATATAGTAGGATGATTGTGTATACCCTATTTTTGATCTGATGTTTTCAGTACATGATTCCCTGCGACAAAATTGCAACTCTTCCTGATGTATCGTTCGTTATCGAGGGCAAAACCTTCTCTCTCAAAGGAGAAGACTACGTGCTTAAGGTAAACCTATTTAGTCACGACAACATTTTGCCACCTCCTCCTGTGTACGTAGTGAAGATTTGTACTAAAGCGTTCCTCATTTAGCTCACTTCAGGTGACCGCAGGAGGAAAAACTATTTGCCTTTCTGGTTTCATGGGAATGGATCTTCCTGAAAGACTTGGAGAACTTTGGATTCTTGGAGACGTTTTCATTGGAAGGTAAACATCTCAATCTGGACAACAAATCCCTAACTAGTCTTTCTCTTTCAGGTATTACACCGTCTTTGACGTTGGAGAAACCCGTCTCGGATTTGCACAGGCGAAGGCAGAAGATGGTTCTCCAGTACCACCTGCGATTCGAACATTGAGTCCGTTTAAAGTGGTCAGTTATACTCATCTACAGAAGCCTGTTTTACAGTGCTTGACGCAAAAGATTCATCCTTCACTACATTCTCGATTTTTTGAATTCTGAAGAAGAGGGCCTTCGAGAATTTCTAGAGCTTAGTCGTCTATTTCGTATGGGTACACTGGGCAGAGCTGGTGTGGCTCACAGAGGTATCGCTCACCATACGCATGGTCCGTAGCTCAAATCTCGGAGCGAGCCCCGCTTCGTAGCGCCTCGAGCGCCGAGCCATACCTTTCATCACATGGGAACGATGAGTTGCTGCTAGGACTGTTTCGAAGGACTACAACCACAGCGCTGGAGGAAATTTTTGGATAGTGCGACCCCCCACCCCATCCCAATCTCCTGCTCTGGTTACGACAGTACGACTCCCCTCTTCGGCCCTCCTACCTACCATCTAACTGACCTTCGTTTGAAAAGTGCTAGAAAAGAGTACCCTTAACAACTTTCTAGTACTTCCTACAGCTTTTCATAGTTTTCTCAGAACCATGGGAAATTTAAAATTTCTCGAATAAAAAACTGCCGTCTAGAGAGGGAAGGGTGAAGGGATGGGGAGGTAGTGAAGAACATGAAAAACGGAAAAAACCGCAGCACGTCAACAACTGGAAGTTCTTCCTCGTCGATCTAAGAAAAATATCCTTTCATTCTATAAACAGTAACTTGTGTGTCGGTTTGTATGTTTGTATGTATGTAGGTTGTAGGTATGTATGTATGTATGTATGTTTGTCTGTCCGTCCGCAAAATACTTCACGGGTTCGAGTTCGCTGGAGGCGAAAACGACCGCTAGGCAAACCGGTAACCGATTGGTAAGGATGTATCAACCCAATGTTTTGATTGTGATAACAGCCTCCGCTATATAAGACAACCATTCGGTACACTCCGAGCCATTGCACGAGCTGCTGGCGTGGCAGCTGGACGTGTGCTCGTGCGGGGGCAGGGTGGGGGTACCGGGTCGCCCTGCCTCCCTCTCCTGCACGTGCTCAGCCGGAGCTGAGCAAGTGTATGGGAGGGAGGCAGAGGGGAGGGTCGCGGGGAGGGGGGTACAGTGAGGGGTGCGTAGCGCGCGTTTCAGTAGAAACGCGCACCAAGGGATGAGGAAACAACCGCTAACAAAACTGCAAGCCAATCTATGTTACCGTAACGAACTAAGAAGTTGTTTTGGTTGTGATAACACTCTCCACTATATAAGAAAACCACTACACTCCGAGCCATTGCACGGGTTGCTCGCGTGGCAGCTGGACGTAAGCGCGTGCAAGGGGCAAGGTGGGGGGGGGGGGGGGTGGAGTGGCGAGTACGGAATGGGGTGAGGTGAGGAAGGTGGGAGTTAGTATCGAGTGACCCCCTTCTCCCATCCTCACTCCCTTGCGCGTACTCAGTCGGATCTGAGCCCATGCAGGGGAAGGAGGCATATGGATTGAATCGGGCAAACTGGGTACAGTAAGGGGATGCGTAGCGTACGCTTGAATAGGAGCAGGCGGCAAGAGAGAAGGAAAGAGCCGCTAGCAAAACTGCAAGCTAATCCAGTCTTACATCTTCATATCTCAATCAATCTTACAGCAACGAACTAAGAAGTTGTTTGGATTGTCAATCGCTCCCCTATCTAAGCCAACCACTGTGATATACTCTGTGCTACTGCAGGAGCTGCTCGCTTGGGAGCTGGACGTGAGCACGAGCAAGGCGGTGGTAAGAACAGTGGCGGAGTAGTGTCCCTATGTTGCATGGCGGCTAGGGGGTACTGCATACCACGTTGGGGTGCGGTGCCGCGGTTAAACAGGGTCAGTGGCGATATTGATGGTGGTGAGGGATACCGAACGCGCCGATTTTCGCGATTAGGAGCAACATAGCCCCTGCGGCGGTAAGGCGTCTACGGTTGCGACAAGATGGGAAGAAAATGGATCGACCGCAATCGGATCTGAACCGATTAATGTTGCATTATCAAATTGTGGTAGCTTTTTGATAGTCATAACACCCTCCACAACATAACCATAACACCCTCCATAACACAACCATTTAGTGCACTCAGAAC